GGACCCCGCGGCCTCCCAGCTGCCCCGCAAAGACGCCCATCCTTCCCGCCGCCAGTCCCCGGCGCCATTCGGCAACCACACGAACCTCCACGAGGACGCCTGGCGAGAGGAAGGCCGTGCGCCGGCGCGCCCCTTTTATAAGGAAACGAAGCAGCCAATCAGAAGCCTTAGACAGCACCCCCACCTATTGGCTGGCGCCGACGCCTGTCTGGCGAAGCAGAAGGAACGCAGGCAGCCATTGGATGACACAGCTGCCACTCCAGCCTACAGGAAGCCGCCTTCAAATAGGAAGTTAAGGAAGCGCTGCCTGGGGTTGCAGGCGCTCTCTGCGAGCTGCTTCCCTCTGCTGGGCTGGAGCTGCTTTGCGAAGACGCTAGAATCTGTGGACTCGGTCCGGTCCGGTCCCGTTTCCCCGCCCCCTGGCAGGTCGCAAACTAGAGGAGGACGTTGCACAAGCCTTAGAAACAGAATGGTCCCTGTCCCCTCTATAGTGTGCCCTTCCCCTACCAAACAGAGGGATCACTTAAAACAGTCGGATCAAAATATAAGTAAATAAAACAGTCGGATCATTTCCTCATCCGTTCAAAATTCTTCAAAGGCTTCCCATTTCCCACAAAGTAAAAAGATTAAAACTTAACTGGCCTACAAGACCCTACATCAAGCATGTCAAACTCGCGGCCCGCGGGCGGTTTGCGGCCCACAATATTTTTGCAGCCCAGCCAATATAACGGTATGTAAGAAACGTTTTAATAAAAATTTCATAACTTAATATCCTGTTATACTTAATTATTAATAACGAACTACAACGTTCGCTAATGACTGATTACTATCATTCTGTTGCATTCATTTCCACTAATACCAGCAGCGAATATTTTAGCAGCCGATGGCCACCTCATTAGAGTTGGACTGACTTGTTTGGTGTGCGCAACAGGAAATATTTCGCTTTCGGAGAACAAGAAAAATAGATTTATCTGCGTTATGCTTATTAATTTGTTCAGTTATTCAGTGTCCGGTAAGTTAATGTTCAAGAAAAAATATTTATTAAAATGTTCTATTATTTTATGTTAATGGTTACTCATTTATTTCAGCCCTTTTATTCAGCATGTCTCTAGCGAAATAAACCTATGTTTCTATGAAAATTGAAACTTTTGCTTTTTTGCAGCCCACATAAACTTAAACCTTGTTTATTTGGCCCGTGTTAGCCTTTGAGTTTGACATGCTTGGGCTACATCATCCACTCTCCACCTCTACTCCTATAATTGCATCTCCTATTTTTCTACTGACTCATTCCCTTCCAGCCAGACAATGTGCCCCTTGAGGGTTCTTACACCAACTGTTCCCTCTTCCTGGAAGGCTCCTTGCCTATATCCACATGTGTGACACCTCCATCACAGTTTGGCTCAAATATCACCTGCTAAACCATACCTACTCTGATTTGCTTTTTTAAAAGTTACTACCAAAAAAAATATTTTTAAATAATCACTCCCACTTCCTCCTTACTCTGTTTTTTTGTTGGTTTTTTTTTGGTAGCACTTACACTTTGTAACACATTATGTAGTTTACTTATTACACTAGAGGCCTGGTGCATGAAATTCGTGCACAGGTAGGGTCCCTAGGCCTGGCCAGCAATCAGAGCCAATCAGGGCCTTGGGCTGCTGGCCGGGGCCTTCCTTCATTCAGCGCCGCCCCCTGGTGATCACCGCATGTCATAGCGAGCAATTGAACTCCTGGTCTCCCAGTTGAACTCCTGAGGGGACACATTGCATATTAGACTTTTATATATATAGATAGTTATTTGTCTGTCTCTCCCTGCAAGAATGCAAGCTCTGCAAGGCAGAAATTTTTGCTTTGTGCCTAGCACATAGTAGGCATATCATAAATATTTGTCTTTTAATATGTTTTTATTGATTTTAGGAAGAAAGGAACTTCAAGGGAGATAGAAACATCGATGAAAGAGAAACATGTGTCAGCTGCCTCCTGCACACTCCCTACCAGAAATGGAGTGGCAACCTGGGCATGTGCCCTGACCAGAAAGCTAACCAGTGGCCTCTCAGTGCACAGGACAGCACCCCACCAACTGAGCTGCACCAGCCCGGGCTCATAAATAGTATTTGTTGAACGTATGAATGCAGGGTTTGCAGTCAGATGACCTGATCTTCTTGTTCTTGGAAATGATTTCACCTTGTTGACACTGTTTCTCATTCCTTACCTGTAAAATGGGGTAAGAGTATCCACATTCTAGACTTGTTATGAGGATTACCTGAGCTATTTGTGAAGACTTAACACAGTTCCTGGAATGCAGGAGGAATTTACTACAAATGCTAGTTTTCTTTTATTATACATTCATTCAACACTTATTATACTCTCGTGTTTTTTAATGAATGAGCTTAGATCCTCCAGCAGAAGAGGTGTTTCTCCCTACCTTTACCCCTTGCACCTGACCAAGTTAGAAACCTCTATATTTTGTTTTAAAGCCTCCTAGTGCCTCTGATGATGAGCCAGTTTAGAGAAATGCTGGAGTTGAGTACTGCTAAGGTCGCTGTGTCATGACAAGGTATTACTGCTGCCTGCTCAGCGTTGTGCTGAGTACTTTGCGCACATTAGCACTGTTGACATTTGCAACAATATCAACACCGTCTTAGTATTTCCGTTTTATCAATGAGAAAATTCAGAGGTTAAATATTTCCCCCAAGTCCCTCAGCCAGTTAACGATGGCGTCAGAACTGAAATCTACAGAAAGTTCATAGCCCATGGGCCTCACTATGCTGTAGTTCCTTCCAAACCCTGAGAGTCTCCCCCTAAACACACTTTCCCAAAGATATACATACAGTTACCTTCCCAAGGACATCCTGGCTCTGATGACATAAATATTTCTAATTGTAGAACATCAATATAATGGAATACCATGAAACCATTAAAAAATGATGCAGATCTATATTTATTGACATGGGGAAATAGAGAGTACACTTGAGTGAGGAAGCAAATTACAAGGACGTGTACCATATCCATTTCTATAAGTAAAATAAATCAAACATGAGCGGGAAGGATAAACCAAGTAATTATCTTTGGGTGAGGGTTGAAGGTAATTTTCACTTCTGAGCTCACTGTGAAATGGGCAGGGTTCAGACTAGAATTCAACATGCAGCTTTGGAGGGCCATTCCAAACAAAGGGGAACTGAGGCCAGAAGAGGGGTGTAGGGCGTGGGGAGAACTGGGGTCGGGAGCAGGACTGAAGTTCCGGCTGACAAAAGTGAGGTAGCCTGCAAATAGGAACATGACCACCAGGGGGAAGTAGAGACCAATCGCCAACTATCAGTCCGCCCCCTTCAGTTGACACCCAAAGTGTTGTGCCAGTACATGGGGGGTCAGGGGACGGGGGTTGGTCAGTGCAGGAACACTGGCAGAGGCCAGCCTTGAGTTCATACATCCTGTCTGCACTCAGGTTTCCTTCTGCATGTCCGTTCACCTCTCTGAACCTCTTTCCCCATCTGCAAATGAGTGTAAAACCAGCCACAGGCCCACGTGAGGATGCCCGTGGGGAATCCAGGACAAAACTTAGCGCAGGCCCTGACCGAGGCAGGGCCCAATAAGGCTGCTCCCCAGCCTGCCCTGGCCAACCAAGCTCACATGGGAAGCCAGGAGGACCAGTGCTCACGGACCAGAGTCTGTGGGGCAAGGGCCCCACCCCCAGGGCTTTTTGCCTCACGTAAGGGAACATGGACGATCTATCCTCAAACTGTGGTCCTTGTGAGTCTAGGAGGGTTTGGTCTCTCTTCTGGGACTAAGTTGTTATCTCAGACCACAAAGAAAACGCACCAGCACAGGTCAAAATAATGGCAAACTTTATTGGCATAAATCACAGGAATTGAAATGAGGAAAAGCCAGGTTAAAAGTTTACAGAGAAAAAAATTAAAATCAATTCATCAAATAACCATTGACCCAGAGGATGGACCCCAGAAACCCTTCCCTCTAGGAGTGGGGTCTAGGGCGGGTCACTGTAAACAGAGCAATAAGGCCTATGGGTGCAAGTGGAGACGTCAGACCTTTGACCTGCCCAGACCTGGCTGCTCCCAGCCCTGCCTTGAAGGAGGGACCCTCATCTGAAACCCCAGCGCGCTGAGCCTCTGCTAGGATCTCACCCACTGTAGACCCACTGGGGCCCCCTCTGCTGGCCAGGAACCCGGGTCTGCCTGCTCCTGTGTCATCCTTGGGGGAGAAAGCAAAGCTCTGGGGCCTTTCCATGGCTTCAGCGGATCCGACCCTCTGCCCAGACTGCCTTGCAACAAGCCGGGCCCTTCCCCCAGACCTCGTTTCCAAGGAGGGCAGGGACTGGGGAAGTGATGCGCCCAGTGGAATCAACAAGACCAACGGTCAAAACCAGATCCCAGCTTTCCTGAGGAGGCAGAAGGAGCCCGGAGAAGCAGTGAGGAGGCGAGAGTGTTCGGGGGGGTTCTCTTGGGTGCCAAAGAGTTCACAGGGGAGCGGATGCTCCTAATGGCTTAGACAGGAAACAGCACCCCCAAAGCATCCTTTCCCCTTCTCCTCACTAGGGAACAGGACAGATGAGGTTCAGAGTCCTAGGCCCAAAGGGGCGAGACACCCGTAGGCCATTTCAATTAAGAGCTTGCTGGCCTGGGTAGTAAGGAAGGGATTTCAAAATACAGCAGTTTATAAAACAGTCCTGGGAGCCGTGAAGGAAAGAAGGGGAGTCTCAGAGCTGCTCCCACTTCACCTGCTTATGCTAAGAAAAAATAAAATACAAATGGCTTCCCCACCCCAAGCCCTCAGTACAAGGCGAACCCTGTCCCACAGCCACTGCCCCACAGGACCGGTGGCCGTGGACAAGGAGTACAAAAGGGGATGTCTTTAAAATCTCTTCAAAATCATTTTGTACAGAGAAGTAAAAGCAACTCCGATGACAGGAATTCAAACCTCAGTGTAGAAATCTATCAAAGTCGGCACAGTGTCCAGGCTCGAGGTGAAACGCCCCCCTCCCACCGTCCGAGACGGAGGAAATGACTATAAACATTATTGCTGGAGAGTCTGTCTCAGTAGAATCAGAGCAGAGATGGGCAGGGCAGTGGTCCCGGCCTGGGGCGACTGGAAGGGCAGGAGGAGCACCAGGAACCTTCCGTGGCCCCTGGGCACTGCGGCCCTCGGATGGATGGGTTGATGCTGGTTTTGTCTGGAGGGAAGGTGTCCCCCAGGATTCTCAGAACAAGGATAATTTGGTCGGACGGAAATAAAGATAAAAAGAGACCCCATCTGACCCTGCCTGCCCGCCCCCTGCTCCACTGCCGAAATGAGTAAGAGATGGCTCCAGTGTGGGGTGCTGGCCAGGCCAGGCGGGTTCGTGGGGTGGGGCCCCCAGCCCTGCTCCGGGGAGGACGAGGAGCTGGCAGCCTGGGGACAGCTGCAGGAGGAGGGGGAGGCCCAGAGGCCCTGGCAGAGGATGAAAAGCAGGGGGCACCCTTTGAGCCCTCTTGCCACCCTGCACAGCCAGGACACGGGTTCCAGTTCCAGTCGGGCTTGGCCCTGCAGCCCTGGGCGAGGCCTCTGGGTCACAGTAGCGGTTGGGGAGGCTGGGCCAGGGGACAGGGCAGCTGGAGGGACGAGGGCCCTAGCAGAAGAGCTTGAGGAAGCAGTTCTGACAGTAAGGCTTGTCGTTCTGCTCCTTGAAGGTGCCCTTGTTGAGCTGCTTGAGGCAGAAGGCACAGACGAAGTGCTCCGGGTGGAACTTCTTGGCCATGGCGGTGATGCAGCGGCCGGTGATGGGCTTCTGGCAGCCGGAGCACAGCGAGCCGCGCCGCTCGTGGTAGTGCACCTCGCAGTAGGGCTGCCCGTCGTGCTCGAAGAAGCTGCCGTTGATGAACGGCGTGAAGCATTCCTGCCGGCGGAAGAGGGGGTGAGGCGGAGGAAAGGGGGCTCAGCTGGGGCAGGGGGCTGAGGCTGCTCCAGGGAGGATGGGCAGGAGACAGTCGGGGTCACCACACTCCCACTGGCTGAGCATTTCCTACGTGCCAAGTGCTGTGCGAAACGCAACTGAATTCCCAACGGAGACGGGATGAGGCATGAGAGTTAAGTGACTTGCCCAAGGTCACGCCGCTACGAAGTGGCACAGCCTGGAGTTAAACATAGGTCTGACGCCTGGGCACTTACCCAGGAGGCTGTACTGTGTGCCCCGAAACCCTGGCGCTGAAATGAACAATGTTTCCCAAACTTATTTGGTCGGAGGGCCCTTGCTGGATCCCCAGGAACAGGTATGGGCTCCCCCCCAGATTGCAGCTTAAAAACCAATGGCCAATTCCTTGGAGCTGCGAAAAGCTTGCATTCTCTCATTGAACCCTTCTCCCGAACGGGAGGGGCCGCCACACAGGACGAGGCTGGAGACACATGCGCTTGCTCCTGGTTTCTCCCACCTCAGTACAAGCCCTGGCCCAGGACCACTGGGCTTGAGGAAGTGTACCCCTGCCTGCTCACCCCATTAATAACTGCGAACAAAGCCTCCAAGTTGCATCCAGAGAGCGCAGTGAGGGAGGCCCTTCTCTCCTGGCTGCCCAGTACCCCCCTTTTTTAAATATATTTTTATTGATTTCAAAGAGGAAGGGAGAGGGAGAGAGACAGAAACATCAATGATGAGAGAATCACTGATCGCTGCCTCCTGCACACCCCCACAACCTGGGCATGTGCCCTGACCAGGAATTGAACTGTGACCTCCTGGTTCACAGGTCAATGCTCAACCACTGAGCCACACCAGCCGGGTCGGTGCCCCTCAGATGCGGGCGCGGGGGGGCTCCTTACCCGGCACACGAAGCACTCAGGGTGCCAGAGGGTGTTGAGGGCCGAGATGTAGTTCTCCAGGATGGCCCGGGCGCAGCCGCCACACTTGGGTGCGAACATGTCGAAGTAATCCTTCCGGCAATAGGCTTTGCCATCTTTCTCGTGGAACCCTGCGGAGCGGGTTTTGTGGGGCAGAGTGAGGGCCTCCAGAGGTGGAGCCCTGACCAACATCAGCAAAGCCCCCTCCCCGGCGCTCCCGGGACAGCCAGTGAGCCTGCTGCCGTACCTTCAGGCCCGAAGAAGGCGCCGCACTGGGCACAGAAGAAGTGCTCGGGGTGCCACGTCCGGTCGAGGGCTGTGACCACTTTCTGTGAAAGCGAGTGCGGGGTCAGAGCCGAGCTGCGCCCATGGGACAGGTCCCCCCGCCGAGAGCTGTCCTTCCCCCTCCTGGCCCGGCCCCGGCCCAGGGCAGCGCAGAGGCTGCCAGGATGGGGTCTCCCCTCACTGTGCTCTGAGCACCATGAGGATTCTGATGCCCTGAAGGAGGTGACATGCCAGACCCTCTCCTTTGATCCTCAGTGCGGCTGAGGTCACAGGTTCTACTGGGACTGGGACTCCCATTTCACAGGAAGAGACTTGGGCTCAGAGAGGCCAGGCGTTTCCCTGACGTCACACGGGGGGAGAGGGAGCCGGCACCTCCCGCCTCACCTCGGAGTCTCCGCAGAGGGTTCTGGGGTGGAGGGGGGAGGCCTGCGGGCACTAGGACGGTGCCAGTGCATCAGGCCTGGGTCTGAATCCCAGCTGTGAGCTCGGGCCTGTGACAGAACCTCCGAGCCTCAGAGGGCACACCCTGCCCCTCGGAGGGTGACGTGAAGCTGAGTGAGCCAGCGCTGCCCGCCCCGCCGTGCCCGGAACTCACATCCAGGATGGGGCCGTTGCAGTAGTAGCAGCGCGGGGAGAAGAGGGTGTGGTAGTCCTTTTCACAGTAGGGCTGCCCGTCCCGCTCAAAGAAGTTGCGGGACCCGATCTCCTCCTGGCAGTGGGTGCAGACGAAGTGCTCGGGGTGCCACGTCCTCCCCATGGCTGTCACCACCTGAGGAGGGAGGCAGGCTGTGGCTCAAGGCCCTGGCCTGCCACGGAGCCCCCTTCTGAGGAGCCAGGTCCCTGTGCCCACCTGCCGCTCTCCCCACCCCCCACCCCTCATCACCTGCCCGGCGATGGGCTTCTTGCAGGCCCCGCAGACTCCCTTGGCGACTGTGGCAACCCCCAGTTTGTTCAGGTCGGACTGCAGGCTCCCCAGCATGCTGTCCAGCTGGCTCCCGGGCTTTGGGGGCTCCCCGGGGGGAGAGCTGCTCCCTGTCTTCCCCTGGGCCATGAACTGTGGAGAGAGAGGGGCAGGTCAGGGTTGGGGCTTTTCTCCCTCCTGAACCTGGGCCGACGGAGGCAAGAAGTGCAACCTCCTCCAGGGGCCTCACGAGCCCTTCAGGTGGGAGTGACATCGCAAGACTTCCTGGTGTCAGGGACGCCTGGCACCACACTGGCCTGGCCCGGGAAACACGGGAAACACGGCACGCAGGACACTGAGCCCAGCCTTGGCACTGACCCCTCCCTCGTCCTGCCCTTCGGGGCTGCTCTGCCTGCCACTCGGAGGCCAGCCAGCCGCCCAGCACAGCTCTCCCTCTGCTCTTTGTTCCAGGCCCTGGATCTTAAATAGGGGAGAAAACGAGGATAAGAAAAAAAAAGTTTTAATTAAGGAAGAAACAAAAAGAGACCCTGTTGTTGGACCATTTCACAAAGGGAATTTAGGGTGAGAGGGCTTTTCTCCCCACTGGCAGTACCAACATCAGGAGGAAAGGTCTACAGAAAGTCTAGAGCGTCCCAGGGCGAGGAGAGAGAAGGGAAGGTGAGCCAACCACAGGCAGGGTCCCGGGGGGGAGGGGCCTGAGGCCCGAGAGCAGAGGCTTCCCACGTGCTGGGCCTGGGCTGCAGGGGAGGGACGGGCTGGGGTCTCTTCTGGGCCTGGCTTTCTCGGTGGAGCTGGAACAGGATGGAGGGGCAGTGGGAGGGGCAGGCAGAAGGGAGCCCACAGGCAGGCAAGAGGACAGCTGACATGCTGGGGCGGGAGTGTTGATGTCAGGTTAAATGAGGTCCAGGGTCAAGGCCAGGTCTCAGGAAGGACACGGTCCTGCTGGGCTTATGGACAGAGACCAGGTGTGTGTGTGCAGGGGGACAGGTAGGGCTCATGCCGGGGCCCAGGGCCTGCCTGCATCGGGGGGAACATCGGGTCCTCGTCGGTCTGGCAGCCCACGGACCTCACAGTGGGGGGTGCAGGAAGGGGCGAGGTGGACCCCTGCACATCCTCCTGCGGCCCTGCCCCAGCACTCTGGGCCCCAGGGGACCCACGGGGAAGAACTGAGGGCCCCAGGGTGGAGGGGGCAGGCAGGCTGGGCAGGGGAGAAGGGCTGCTGGCCGCGGCCTCTCTGTGATGCTGGAGGAAAGGGACAGGAGGAGAAGGCAGAACAGAGAAGGTTCTTCTCAGGGGGACGGGAGAGCCGGGAGGGAAAACCACCTGGAGAGAAGAGAGGAAGGAGAGCGATGAGGAAGGCGAGGAAGCACCAGCCCAGCCAGCAAGGGCACCAGAAGCCAGGTCCCCAGCTCCCCGGGCCTCCCCACTCTGCCCCGTCTCTCCCGGGCCACAGGGTGCAGGACCCCCACACGCCAAGCTCCCCTCTGGCCAGGATGCCCGCAGCCCTGGTCCTGGCCGAGCCCTGGGCATCTCCCTGCTACCTTCTCTACCAGCTGCCCCTCAGCCCGCCTCCCTCGAGGCTGCACAGTGATGACGACGCCCTCCGTCATCCAGTCCTCGGTGGAG